CTAAGCCTTGTAAAATGTAAATTGACTCTACACGAAGAAGAAGGTGGGGAGCAGTGTACGTGTGCTCAGCACTTCTATTTTTGAGCTGTTTCAAGATCGGGGTTCATTCTCATCATTAGTAAGAGACCTTATTTTCATGTAGAGATATATATCCCGTTAAGAAAATAACCTATAGTTATAGACTTGCATGGCAAATAAGTATTAAGATTATTGTATTATTATTTGATTATTTCGAATTGTGTTAAGTGTTTTTAATTGCGATTAATTAGGTCCATTAAAGTGTGGATTTGATACAATTAAGTCGAAAATGTATAAAAATTTAAAGCCAATAAGTCCAGCATATATGGTGCATTGGTGCTGGGTCTTAAAACACACGATGGATTTAGGATTTGAACTCTTGGAAAAGCATCATTATATTGAACCGTACTTCCTAATCATTTTATTTTGATTATACTTCCTAATCATTTTTTTATTGGAAACCATATTTTTGCACGGGAAAATCATTAATATTATTTTCCACCTCCATATATGTATTTATAACAGAAAAAATGAAAATTAAAAATCCAACATTTGCTCGGTCTTCTCTAAAAAATTCAACCTTCATTTAATCCCACAAAAATCCAACCTTTATACCCCACATTCATCCAAAGATCCATTACCTGTTGATGACTGGTTTTAGTAAGTTATATGCCATGTGTTAGCTATTAATAGGTCAATTAATTTTTTGATTATTATAAAACAAAAACAATTAAAAAATTAAAAGTTAAAACAAAAAAAAATCGGAAACAAACCCAGCCCCACCCTCCTTCCCTAACCACCCCATCCACCGCCCACCGCGCACCGGAACCCAACAAACCCATCTCTTCCCCCCCTCCCCCGCAGCACAAAACCCACACGCATCACTGATAGATATTATATTTAGGATAATATTTGTCACAGTTTAGGATATATATTGTATATTTTGTATGTTTATCATATCTAGGAATCCTTATCCTAGTGTTGTAAACTCTATATATTTGATCAATGGTACACACTCCAGATTGAGGAGTTTTCTCGAAATCTAACATGGTATCACACTCATCAAAACCGACTTTGATACTGTCGCCACTATGATAGCTCAAACAGACCCACTTCCCTCTTTTAAAACCACACGATCTCACCTTCTATTGGAAGAAACACGCCGGAATTCTGAAACCACGGCGGCTCCGACCACTTTTGTGGCATAGCAACAACAATCGCCCGCTTCTCAGGACTCCACCCAGCAAAACTCCACTGGCGCCGGCAGAGGCACTGGTGGCGGTGGACGAGGACGCGGTGCCGGCGGTAAGGGACGTGGGAAAGGTCGCGGCCGCGGCGCACCTGGTCGAGGTAGCCCTTCTGGTTAGAGGTGTCCACCGTGCGAGTCGTGCGAGCTGGGTTAGGGTTAGGTGGGTCGCGGGTTGGGGTTTCATGACACACGGCACGACACACGTAGGGTAGGGTGGGCCGGGTCGTGGGTTGGGTCGGAGAAGTTGGACACACCAGGGTTAGGTTCGTGGGTTAGACGAGTCGTGGGTGGGTCGAGCTGGGTTTGTGGGTTAGACGGATCGTGGGTGGGTCGAGCTGGGTTTGTGGGTTAGACGGGTCATGGGTGGGTCGAGCTAGGTTCGTGGGTTAGACGGGTCAAGGTGGGTTAGTGAGTTAGGGTGGGTCGAAGGGTGGGTTAGTGGGTTAGGGTCGGGTGGGTTTGTGGGTTAGGTGGGTTAGGGTCGGGTGGGTTAGTGGGTTAGGGTCGGGTGGGTTTGTGGGTTAGGTGGGTTAGGGTCGGGTGGGTTTGTGGGTTAGGGTCGGGTGGGTTGTGTGGTGTTTTAATTTTTACAAAATTAACAATTTGATGGCTTGCTCTTAATTAAGATGCCTACGTATCCTTATATTATAAAATAAGGAATCAAAGCCAGCGTAGTTCTTATATTGTACTTCTTTTGAAATTTGGGGGGGGGGGGGCTTGGACCTATCTTTAGAAAACTAAAATTTAATTTTGCAATTAAATTGTAATTTTCGAAAAATAAGTTGCCTACGTATCCCGAAAGAATCAAAGCCCACGTAGTTCTTAGCGTACCTGATTTAGACTTTTCTAGCCACCCATGTTTGTTGCATCATCATCCCCGGAAGCTGCATCATCCGTTGACGACTCCAATATCATCACAGGATCATCTTCATCGTCTTCGTCTTCCTTTAAACCTTGAGTTCTTCTTTCAGCTTGATCCCAATCTTTCTTACAAACACAAATTTGAATGCTTTCCGGAGTTAAGCGAGATCTTTTTTCATCTAACACTCTTCTACCTGCACTAAAAGCAGACTCGGAAGCAACAGATGAAGCGGGAACTGCAAGTATATCTTTTGCAATTCTCGCCAATATAGGAAAACTTTTTTTATGTTCTTGCCACCATTTTATAATTTGAAAGTTGTTGTTGGTCTCATGTTGATATGACAAATAATCATTAATAGCAAGTGTTGAAGAAGATGATGATGAGAATGATGTAGATGCTTTGTGTTTTTTTTTCATAACTTTATCAAGAAAACCAAATCTAGAATCGGAAGTGCTAGTAGTAGTTGGTGTTGCCAAATCAAAACCATAAATAGATGCATAATGATCATAAAGGTCTCCCAAAACAGATTTGCATTTGTTAATATATTCACTAACATCATAATCGATACTTAAACTTGTATAATAAAATTCTAAAAGATTTTCCAAACCTTCAGCTTTGACACCGGGGTCAAGAATAGCAGCAATTCCATAAATGATTGGAAATTCACTAAAATAAGTATGCCACTTACGTTTCATGCTATCAAGAACGGGACGAAGTCCATCAATCTTCATATGCTCTTCGATGGTGTGAACAACTTTAACACACTCAATTATGACTAAATGAACGTTAGGCTCATAAATATAAGAGAAAATATGAGTTGCACTATCAAAAGCATTTAAAACATCACGAACAAAAGAAGCATTAGTCCAATGACTTTCGGTTATTAACTCAGTAGGATCAACACGAGTCTCATTGTAAAGTTGGGTCAAAATATCACGATACTTTATAGCATCACTCAACAACTTGAAAGTAGAATTCCAACGGGTAGGGGTATCAATAGACCATTGTCTTTTCTTAAGACCTCTCTCTTTACACATAGCTATGTACTTTCTTCTAACTGACTGAGTAATCCTAATCCATTTTATAACTGTTCTAATTGGGTTTAGCAATGGTTGCAACTCAGCGAGACCCTCTTGAACAGACAAATTCAAAATATGAGCACAACATCTAACATGCAAGAGACTACCACCCAACAACAAATTCAACTCGGAGTCATTTTTCAAATAGTCAATACACTTTGTGTTTGCAGTTGCATTATCAAGAGACAAAGAAAAAACTTTATTATTCAAGTGAAATTCTTTTAAACAATCCAAAATACGAACTTTGATGTTAAAACCGGTATGCCTTTCTTCCATAGCTTGAAAACATAGTATACGTTTTTGAATAAACCAATCATCATCCACCCAATGAGCAGTAATGCAAAGAAAAGGTTCGCCAAAACTAGAAGTCCATGTATCACTTGTAAAACTAACACGACCATCAAAAGTACGAAATAATTCAATCAAACCACTCCTATACTTATAATAAGAAGTTTGTGTATAACGTCTTAGGGTATTTCGGGGGACACGAGTAAATGCAGGTTGTAATGCAACTTTATTAAAATGCTCAACGTTTGCATTTTCACCGTAACTAAAAGGGTATTCATTAGCAATAACTAAAGTACTCATTTCATCAATCATTCTATCTTTATTATAAATGAAAGGTGTACCTCCGCCGGGTTGGTTCATGTATCCACCCAATTGTGTTTGGACGCCACCCCCCGAAGGACGGGGGCCATTTTCGAACAAGTCGTGTTTATTTTGCAAATGCCGACTCAAGGTTCCGGTTCCATCTCCCGTTTTCCAATTATATGACTTGACATTTGCACCTAGCGCCTTGCAAACTAGGCATGTACACGTATTGTTGTGGTGGAGACGTTTGAATATTTTGCCTATCTCCTAAACCATAATCTCCATATTCATTGACAAATTGGTTTAAATTTTCCGTATTAATTTCATACGAAAAATTTGCACCACCACTCCTTTGGCTACCACTTCGACCACCACTTTGACTCCTTCCTATTCCTCCTCTTGAGCTCATTTTTTTTTTGTATGATTACTAATTATAATATGGAGAAGAACTTTTTTTTTTAGAATCTTAAGAATACTAATAATAATATTAAGGAGATTTTTTTTAACAAAAATATAACTCTATATAACACTTGAGAATTTGAGAACAATAAGAATTTTTAAGTAAGAGAGAAAGAAAGCTTGAATTTGTGTGGAAATTTGAGTGAAATGGAATTGGTATTTATAGGAAAAATAGAATGGATGATCATACACTTAAAAAACTAGCCGTTAGATACAAAAAACTAGCCGTTAGATACAAAAAACTAGCCGTTTTTTTTTTAAAATGGATGTTAGGCCGTGCGGGTCGTGCGAATTGTGCGGGCTGTGCGGGCCGTGCGGGTTGTGCGGGCCGTGCGGGTTGTGCCGGCCGTGCGGGTTGGGTGGGTCATGCGTGCGGGTTGGGTGGGTCATGCGTGCGGGTTAGGTGGGTTGGCTCGTGCGGGTTGGGTGGGTCATTCGTGCGGGTGGGCCGTGCGGGCTGGGTTGTGCCAGGTGGGTCGGGTTAGGTGGGTTCACGGGCTAGGTGTGTCGAATTAAATGAGTCAAAACGGGTTGTGCGATTTGGGTCGAATCAAACGGGTTAAACTGAGCTGGGTTGAAATGGGTTGTGTCGAAAATTTTGGACCCACGACACAACCCGGATTAAATCCGAGCTGTGCCGGGCTGTGCCGGATTGAAACCGGGTCGGACCCACGTGACCCACCAGCCGTGCGAGTTAGGGTGGGCTGGGTCCAACCCGGCCCACTGGCCACCTCTACTTCTGGTCAGCAGCAACAAACACAACAACAATAAGGGAGTTGGGAGTCACAGCAGCCCTCACCTAATGGGCAAAATTGGGCCCAACAGCCCCCTTGGCCCAACCCGCAGCAGCAACATTGGCCTCAACAAGGCTGGGCCGTACCTCCTGCCCCCTTTCCAACCAGTGGGATGTACCAGTCTCGACCCAATGGACCCCCTGCTCGTGGTTTGTATTCTCAGCAAGCCTACACCATGGGTCAACCTCAATACGGGCCGCCTATGACTCCCACGGAGCTCGGGAGTGCGTATTCCTCAATGAGTCTATCAAGTCCGGACAATGGGTGGTACATGGACTCCGGAGCTACTTCTCATATGACTCATACCTTAGGTAATCTCTTGCCCCGTTTTAATTTAAGCACGAATAATCATATTTTAGTCGGAAATGGTCATCGCATTCCAATCACTGGTTATGGTCATACCACTTTACCTAACAATTCGCTTGCTTTAAAAGATGTTCTTCTAGCCCCTCAAATCATTAAAAACCTGATTTCAGCCCGTAAATTTACATCTGATAACTCAGTTTCAATTGAATTTGACCCTAATGGCTTTTCTGTGAAGGACCTTCGAACGGGGAGGGTACTAGCGAGATGCAATAGTTCCGGCGACCTTTATCCAGTCACGTCCACATTACCAAGCACCTACCTTGCCACTTCTCTTACCACAGTCACTCCAACCACTTGGCATGACCGCTTAGGACACCCTGGAGCACCTTCTATTAATTTTCTTAGGAGCAATAATTTTATTGATTGTAATAAGGAGCTTGACTCCAATTTTTGCAATTCTTGTCAAATAGGGAAATATGTTAGACTTCTGTTTTATAACTCAAATAATCATACTTATTGTGCGTTTGATATTATTCATGCTGATTTATTTACCTCTCCCATTCGTAGTGTCAATGGTCATAAATATTAGGAAATTTTGATTTTTACCACCTTCAAATAACGACTTTATTGAATTTACCACCTCCAAAAAAAAAGATTTACTTTACCACCTTATAAAAAAATTAAACATCAGTTTTCCCACCTAAGCCTAACTCTGGTGACGGAAATCACCAGTGGAGCCCGCCATAACAACTAGTTTTTGAAATTATCCCCAAATTCTCTCGATTTTCCTCCTATTTAAACAACCTTCTTCATTTCCACATCAAATTGTTGAAGATTGAAGTTTTTTTTTTGCGATTTTCTTTACAAATCCTTAATTTGGGTAGTAAATGAGCCAAAGTTCATCTTATAATTTGCTTATAGCTTGGTTTTTGGTCTGATTTGTATCCTTAATGGCTTAAGGATTGCAAACAAAAACGTGTTTGATCTTATAAATACCGAATCTGTGGATGAGCAACAACAATTACTCGTACCTGAGCTGCTTCAATTTCTGTTTCCTGAACCTGATTGTTATATGACAGAGGTTTCAGAAAACAAACGGCGACGAAGAATAGATTCGACTTCTGGAAAAAAAATTTTCTCGTAATTCGGAGGTAGTGTGACCATTTCTACTGCCAAATTTTCATTGAACTTAATTGTATTTGAACACAATTACCATAATCTAACCCTAATTTTACTGCCTAATTGAAATATCAAAAACCCCCAAATTAATTTACACTTACATTAACCCTAATTATTTACAATATGAAATTGGGGTTGAATTAATAACAGAAAACATGCAATTTCAATTATACTTAGCAGTTGTAATATAATCACGCAAACAATTGCAAAAAATTACAACAGAATTCATGAAAATTGCTTACCTTTTCGCTGTTTGTCGTCGAACAGTTCAATTGATTCAGGGCCGAGTACAATCTTCAATAATTTGATAATTTGAGGATGTGGGATTGTTAAGGATCACCCAAAATCAGAATTTGTGAAGAAAATGGCAAAAAAAAACTTCAATCTTCACGAAATAGATGTAGAAATGAAGAAGTTAGGTTTAAATCAATGGGAAATCGGGAGAATTTGGGGATAATTTCAAAAACTAGCTGTTATGGCGGGCCCCTCTGGTGGTTTCCGTCACCGGAGTTAGGCTTAGGTGGGAAAACTGATGTTTAATTTTTTTATGAGGTGGTAAAGTAAATCTTTTTTTTTTTTGGAGGTGGTAAATTCAATAAAGTCGTTATTTGAAGGTGGTAAAAATCAAAATTTCCTAAATATTACTTGGTATTACTTGATGATTTTACTCACTATGTATGGACTATCCCATTAGCTTCTAAATCCCAGGCTTACCAAAGTTTCCTTATTTTTAGACAATATGTTCAAACCCAATTTGAGCGTCCAATTAAATCCTTTCAAAGTGATCATGGTCGTGAGTTTGATAATGACCCATTCAAAAAAATTTGCAATGCTAACGGTATGGTTTTTAGATTCTCGTGTCCTCACACTTCATCCCAAAGCGGGAAAGCAGAGCGTATGATCCGCACCATAAATAACATCAACCGCACTCTTCTTTTTCATGCCTCTTTGCCTCCATCTTATTGGTCACATGCTCTTGAAACGGCAACTTATCTTCTTAATATTTTTCCATCTAAATCCATCAAGAACATTACTCCGGCTCAGGCTCTCTTTCGTAGGAACCCATCCTATGGTCATCTTCGGGTTTTTGGTTGTCTTTGCTTCCCAAATTTGTCTGCCACTGCTCCACATAAATTAGCCCCTCGCTCCACTCCTTGCATTTTTTTAGGATATCCCTCCAATCATCGAGGCTATAAGTGTCTAGATATTTCCACCAAGAAAATTTATATTTCCCGTCATGTCACCTTCAATGAGACCGTTTTCCCTTTTAAATCCTTAGAAAAATTCACATTGAGTAACTACAATTTCTTGGGCCATGATGAACAGTCGCCTCTCCTTACCCATTATCTCATGGGCTATCCTCACTCCATAAAGCCAAGCCGTGCTGTAGCAGACCCAGCTCAGCCGAGCCCACACATAGCAGGCCCAGCTTCGCCGAGCCCACACACAGCAGGCTCGCCTCACCACAGCCCACTCACTGCTAGCCCACACTCCCGATCTCCCTTTCCCGCAACTCCAACCCAGCGCACTTCACACCCCAACTCGCCAACCAGTCCAGCCACACCACACACATACTCCCCGCCACCTATGCGTGGCATACCGCCCTTGCAGCCCACTCGCCCCCCTACCATCCCCTCGTATCACCCATAGTCAACGGGGTATATACAAGCCTAACCGAAATATTGTAACCTCACCGTTCAACCTTCGGGTCCACCTCATTCCAAATCACCTCTTCCAAAATCTTATAAACAGGCCTTAAATGACCACAATTGGAATGCGGCGATGAAAGATGAGTATAGTGCTTTAATTAAAACAGGGACATGGGAATTGGTGCCTAGGCCTACGGGGGTGAACATTGTTAATTGTATGTGGCTCTTTAAACACAAATACAAGTCTAATGGTGACCTTGAAAGGCACAAAGCTCTCTATGGTTTGAAACAAGCTCCCAGAGCTTGGTACCAACACTTTGCAAATTTTCTTATTAATTTGGGATTTGTCATTACTAAAAGTGACACTTCTCTCTTTACTTTCCGGCAGGGAGATGATATGGCATATTTGCTCTTATATGTTGATGATATTCTTTTAACTACCTCATCTGACAGGTTGCGCACATGGATCATCTCTCAGTTGCAAACTGAGTTTCCCATGTCTGATTTGGGGCCTCTGAGTTATTTTTTGGGTATTGCAGTAACCCGAAAACCTTCTTATATGCTACTTTCGCAAGAAAAGTATGCACGGGAGATTTTAGAGCGTGCAGGGATGGCCTCTTGTAAGCCTTCCGCTACTCCAGTTGACACTAAGTCCAAACTTAGTGCAGATGCAGGGCCACCTTTTCGGGATCCTACTTTGTATCGCAGTTTAGCAGGTGCTCTTCAGTACCTAACTTTTACCAGGCCAGATATTTCCTATGCGGCACAACAGGTGTGTCTCTTTATGCATGATCCACGGGAACCTCACTATGAGGCATTGAAACGCATTTTGCGTTATGTTCAAGGTACCATTGATCACAGTCTACATTTATATCCTACTGTTTCACATCGACTGATTACTTACACTGACGTTGACTGGGGAGGTTGTCCCGACACCCGACGTTCCACATCGGGATACTGTTGTTTCCTTGGGGACAACCTCGTATCCTGGTCATCTAAGCGTCAACATACATTATCTAAGTCGAGTGCAGAAGCAGAATATCGAGGCGTCACAAATGTTGTCTCTGAGGCGTGCTGGCTCCGTAATCTTCTCCTAGAGTTACATTGTCCTCTACGACAGGCTACTATTGTTTATTGTGATAATGTCAGTGCTATCTACCTTTCTGGCAACCCCGTACAGCACCAACGCACCAAACATGTGGAGATGGAAATTCATTTTGTTCGAGAAAAGGTTGCATTGGGACAAGTTCGGGTTCTCCATGTTCCTACTAGATATCAGTTCGCAAACATTTTCACTAAAGGCCTACCGCGAGAATTATTTCTGGAATTTCGATCCAGTCTTAGCGTACGACCTCCTCCCGCTACGACTGCGGGGGTGTGATAGATATTATATTTAGGATAATATTTGTCACAGTTTAGGATATATATTGTATATTTTGTATGTTTATCATATCTAGGAATCCGTATCCTAGTGTTGTAAACTCTATATATTTTATCAATGGTACACACTCCAGATTGAGGAGTTTTCCCGAAATCTAACAATCACCTCCACCAACTTCTGCCTCTGCAACTCTCATGCGCCACTACATCACACGCACAACAACCACAAAAAAACGCAACCTCAATTCGCCTAGCCCATCTAGCTTACCACCCACCAGTCCACCACCACCAACAACAATTGGCACAATTGCAGCGACAACTAGTCCTTGCTCAACCCCCAAAATCGCACCACCTGAAATTGCAGTCCAAGCGAACTCAAATCGTGATTTTTGTCCACTGTCCATCGCACTTCATCATCTTCATTTTGAGGGTTTTTCAATTCAATCTTCGATTTGGTTGCCTGATTCAACCATAATAATCTTTGTTTTGTGAATTTTGAGCCTAGGTAAGGTTGGTGGTTTCAGTTCTAAGTATGGTTGGGTGGGGTAAGTGGTTGTGGCAAAGGTAGTGGCGGCGGCGGTGCGTGCTAAAATAGGACTGGGGTGGGTGGTTTCAGCTTTTAAGGAGAGATGAGAGAGAAAGATGAGGAGTGGGAAGGGAAAGTAAGAGAATTTAAAAAAAAAATTAAAAAAAAAAAAAACTTTTTTATCAGATCACAAGTAAAATGGATCTATTGGAGAAGGTAGAGTATAAAAGTTGAATTTTTTTAAGATTAAACGAATGTTGAATTTTTGTGAGAACTGCGCAAAGGTTGGATTTTTAATTTCCATTTTTCCTTTATAATATCCACTTTTACACTTCATATTTATACTACCTCCGTTTTCATATTATTTGCAACAATTTGACATAAAGTAGAGAGAAAAAAAGTTTAATCGTTGTAAATAATATGAAATGGAGTTAGTATTATGGGTAATACTTAATGATATTGTAAGTTTTTTTTGTTTGATGTTTTTTAACTACCTAAATCAGCCGCCATAAGCGTAGAAATCAAGTTGTGTATGTAAGGAATTAAAAGTAATATTAGTATATATATTTGTACATTCAATGATCACTGATCAGAACATAATAATGCGATCAAGATATGAAAATTTTAATTAATCAAAAGTATCCTCACGTCAACTCTCATTATGAAATATAGTGATTTCTCCGTGAGTTAAATATTAGTAGATACGTTTTTCAATAATCACTTTTCAAAAGAAAGCAAAAAACATGATTAAAAAAAAGCTAAAAAGGAGATTAAAAAGTGGTGCAAAAGAAAACAGATCTACTTTTGGTGACCTTCAATATTAATTTATTTTAATAAAAAAGTTTAGGGTATGGTACGTTTGTCCAATTTATATACAAGTATATATTTTTTTATTTTATAAATTCCAATTAATACATTAATATAGCTGGAATTCATACTTATTAGCGAAAAGAAACAAAAATGAAGAACACTTAAATTAATTAGCAACCAAAAATATCTTTGTTGTTTTGTTTCTACATAGCCAATGCCTTAAAGTAACGAAGGCATGCCACCACGTGAATTCGTCGGCAATAGCAAATTTCATATACGAAGGACTAGTAGTGAAGTACCATTCTTTTAAATTTTTTAATTTCACTAATATCCATAATTATAGCCTAATAGGACACATTGTATATAAAATATCTTTATCATATTGTTAAATGCCGGTCTGGACCGTACCCGCAAAAAAAAAAAAAGGGAGAGAGAGTTCACTTTACAAGATCAAAGGAGATTCCATTCTAAAATCATGTGGCAGTAGGAGAAGTAGCCCCTTAGCCTTATAAAGTGTTTAACTCTCTTTTCTTTAACCAATGTGGGACACTTACATGTGGTGACACTTGAGAAGTTTAGTCTTCAACACATACAAGTCAGCTCTTGAGTTAGTACCTTCAAATTATGAACTAACAATATTAACCCTATGGCCTATACACATACTAGTGGATGTCAACTACATAGGTTAGTTGGCTCAACAACGTTTGTGTGTACATATGATATAGAATAATATTACCATATATCGAACTGTAATAGTGAGGGTTTGAGGAATATATCAAGGTTAGAGCTTCCTTTCCGGTTTGAGGAGATTACGAGATTAAATTTCATAGTTAGAATGTTTTTCGCTTTGTGTATTTAGCAATTACCTTTGGGCTTTTAGTTGTTAGCTACTTTTAAGTAGCTATTAAATGTTTGCAGTAACTATTTTGACTAACCGATTATAATTAACTTTTTTGGGTAAAATTGTTTGATAAATAGATGTTGATTACTACTTGCTTTAATAACAACAATAACAATAACAATAACAATAATTCAGTTCAGTTCAGTTCAGTTCAGCTCTTAATTTCACTCTCTCATAAAATATTCATTTCAGCTCAGTTCAGTTCAATTTAGTTCAGCTCCAATCAGTTCAGTTCAGTTCAGTTCAGCTCCAATCAGTTCAGTTCAGTTCAACTCAGCTCAGCTTAGTTCAATAAATGTGAATAGGCCTTATATCACTTTCAAAAAGCGCATCACCGAGATTGAGAGATAGCTCAAGTTGCTAGAGCTTCCCTCTCAATTCTAAGAGATGTTATGATCGATTCTCACCCCGTCCTTGTGTGGCTCTCTAAACACCATAAAAAAGTGCATCACCAAGCAATCCAAGAGTTTTTGAAATGGTCGTTCAACTAATTTTATTCAAAAAAAAAAAAAAAAAAAAAAAAAAACTCCTAAACATATACCCTCTTAATATCGATTATGGTCTTGATAAAGGTAGGAGTAAAAAAAAAAAAAACTCCTAAATATATACTCCGCACAACAAGAAGTTAACAACCAAAAAAAAAAAGAGAGAGAGACTAGGGTCAGGTAGATAAAGGTATGGATGGCCAGTACTCCAGTAGGGTGAGTTAAATGGGCTTGGGAAGGGTCAGCGTGAGTCGGGTCATTGGTCTGTAAACTCAAATTATAAATTATTTTGGGCTTTTACAAGTTTGTATTTGGGCTTTATTAACTCCCTATACTTACAGAGTACAGACAATAGACCACAATCCATATGTTAGTACATCATGAATTTATGGCAAATCATCTTTGGGATCACTACCTTCTTGGATCAAGTGCCACTCCTTTAGTCTTGGATCACCACCTTCTTGTATTTGCTGCTTATCACCAAATCCATCAAATTTACATCATCAATTCTTTCGCACCATGGCATCTCATCAGTAGTATATGTTTCATGAGATTCATATGCCCAATCGCTAATCTAACCATTCGAGGGCACAGCTACTTTATAAAAATGAAAACGAAGACTAACTACAGCACAACCTTCATCGCTTAAATTTGAAGCTTGTTAGAATATAACATGAATGTTTGTATACACTACCATCAATAGTTCTGTAGTTCACAATCTTCTATTACAGCAATAGTAGTGGAAAACTACAATTATCACTCTTTAAGCCTCCTACCTGTAGGCTTTTTTGTGTTACAAGCAAAATTGCCCAGCTAAATCAGGAAAAAAAATATCAAATAACTAAACTACAGTTAGCTCCCCACACAAGCGACTCCCCCCCCCCCCTCCCCCTGTCCCGTTCACTCGAATAATAATGAATAAAAAGGAAAGTACAATTTGAAAATTTGATATTGCTACAGGCTTGCAGCAGCAGAATATGGTCAGGTTAGAGATTCGGCTCCATATTTGAACTCATCAACTGGTAATCCCGGCACATTATTACACTGCCTACAGAATCCTCCTTTAGGTCCTGAGGGCGTGCGCAGCATTGTTGTGCTTGAGATTACAAGCTGTCGAGGTCAATGATAATTATATATCTGAGAATCTATGGTCTGTGTTCAATCTGTTCATCAATAAAATTGTTGTTCCATGGGTGCAATAGAACTCTAGGAAGTCATTTCGACACTCAGATAACAATTAACAAGCGTCTACTTTTTATCCCAGTTCGGAATGTTGGCAGTAGCTTCATTCACCATAGAAACCAGGGTGACCTGTCGATTACATATATTAAGTGCTTAAAATCAGAGAAATTCATTGTGATAGAAACCAGTATTACACTTTGACGTTTGAACTAGTTACATATATTATGCTTTTAAAGTGCAAACCCTAAGTGTTCCTTTTCCAAACTCAACTGATCTAACTAAAAGGCTCAGAATCCACACCGATACTATACTACCAAACCACATGTTGGATTGGAGGAAAAAACACAAAAGATATAAGATACAAATGCTGATAAAACTACATAGTACAGAAAATCCAATGCAACTAGATTACATCAGCCCAAGAGATGTATCTTTTAACGTGCAAACCATAGTTTTCATTTACCCAAATTTTGACCACTCCTTTGAAACACCCCCCACCCAACAAAACACACACACACACACACACACACAAAAAAAAAAAAAAAAAAAAAAAAAAAAGTAAATCAGACCAATGTAGCATTTGATAGAAAGGATGAACTCAGTTACTCAGACATCGTTAGAAAATGTCTCTATGAAAATGACACATTTCCACAAATTATAGTTCACCTCTAGCATCTAAGCACAATACCTCAATTGCTACCCCTTTGAATCAGTAATTTCGGTTCAAGTCCTTATCAATCAATCAATCAAAGCCTTAATTCCATAAGCATGGTCAGCTACATAAACCAAATTTGATTAAATTTTTACTTATGAATAACTCTATATGGACTGAAACATTTGACTCAGTATGAAAATGAAGCTTTCTGACCACTTCAAATCTTTTACCAGCAGCTAAGCCTTTATGGTTATGTTAAGTTATATAGCCATACGGCATACGATGATAGAAGTACAAGACATTTACAATACTATAGGTCTATAACCAAGAAGCACAATGTAACCCAAACTGAAATCACAAGACATTCTCCAGAAAAAGAAAAAGTTAACTTACCACACTTTCAGGAACTCCTGGAGGGGGCATGGGTAGGCTTTTAGGTGGT